TTTTTGTATTATATTAAATATAATAATAAATATATATTATATTGTAATTATATATATTATATTATAATATAACATAATCATAATTTTTAACTATTTACAGCAATTCAACCTCATAATTTACCAAACACTATTACACTGATTTTGGAACCAGCATAGTTATTAGAATTATAGTTTACTAAACACTCAGTTGATTTTTGAAACAGTTGCTTCTTCCTTCAGCACAGTTAAAAACAATTTTTTCAAAATCTACAGCACTACCAAACTAAGCCATTATGCGGTCCTGGCTTGTTTAGGTGTTGGAGTCGAGCTGCGTCTGTACTTAAGACTCAAAAGTAACTTTGAGTTGAACTAACTCAGATCAAAGTGTTTCTTTTATTTTTAATTTTTAAATTTCCCTTATAAAGGTTTGGACTAGCCCAGCTCAAGTTTTTAGGGTTAGACCAGGTTGGACCGACCTTTCTACCTTTAAGGTCCGCATTATTCGGTTAAAATAGCATGTCGATTATACAGCTCAAACTTTTAGCTCTCTTTTTTCCTATCCTCTTTTATGTACCTTTGTCATTATCTTGCTAACAATAATTAAAATATTTTAACTGACATGATTTTTTAAGTGATGCTACATTATGTTTTAATGTTACGATATTCTTGGAGGACACAAAAAGAAGGCATCAATAAGTAGCCACAAATAAGGAGTCAATCCTTCTTGTTAGCCCCCACCCGGCCATCTCTTGTAGAACGTCCACGCTTAGGCGATGATCAGAGCATTGGAGATCCTTCTCCAATACAAATTCCAACATTTTTCCAGTTGAGAATCTCCTGAATCCCGTCCCTAGCCTCTTCGTTGCTGCGATCATTGGATCCCTCTCATCCATATGCTTCCTCTTCACTGAACCTCCTTCATCTGGATTTCAAGCTATCTACAAGTTGAGCTCCTATGATATTTTTTAAGTTATTACCCAAATAAAATTACTAAAAAAATAAAAAATAAAAAATTAATATTTTAAAGTGTTTTTTTTTTTTAAGTCTTAAAAGTTAAGATACCAAAATAATATTTTAAAAAGTGAAAATTGGTGAACTCATTTTCTAAATATATTGTTTTAAGATTTTTATTTTTTATTTTTAGTTAATATCAATATATTTAAAGATTTTTATCTTTTATTTTTAATTAATATCTTTTTAATTAATATAGTTTTTTAACTAAAGAGTATTAATAAAAAAAAGGTTAAAAATTTAAGATCAATACATTCTAATGAGTATTATCTCTTTTTTTTAAGCATATAATTACACAAAAATTGGGCGTTGTTTTTATTGTTGGAGTAAGGAAAAAAAAAGATTTTATCTAGTAGACTTCCTTACTAATAATAATACTGTTAAAATTACATCCAATTAAAAAAATATACATAATAAATAATACATATTTAACTATTTAAAAATAAAAATTTTAATAAAATTAAATCTTAATTTAAATTAAAATTTTAAATCAGCATAATCGCCGTAACTCCGTGGCTAGAATGTCCGAAATTCGACATTGTTAAGTGTCAAATTCAGTCTCTCCACGTTTGCAAGGTGGTATGTTCCTATTGGTCCGATGACAACATCCGGCACCTGCACAGCCTACGTGGCTCCTAAACATCAAAACCATCCACGTCTCGCTTTAAACAAATCCAAGCCGTACAAGTTGATTCTCTTGTCACGTGTCGCACTGTCGCCATTACTTGCTCACGAAGGGTCTGACCCACGCGGTTCTCTGTACATATAAATCGAATTCTTCGTATGACTCCTCCGAAAATCTTCCTCCTCTGTAAAAAAAAAAAAAAAAAAAAAAAAATTCTGCAGAACCAGAAATCAAATTATCTCTCTTTTTTTTTTTTGGTAATTTATTATCTTTTTTAGGGTTTAGGTACAGCCGTTAATGGAAGGAGGAGATGTGGAGTTTTGGGGAGGAGAAGACGTAATCAGAGAAATCGACTGGAGCAGTATCTTCAACGACGGCTTCCATGGCGGCGCCAACATTTTGGAGTGGGATCCGCCGGCTGTTATAACGGATTCGTCCGCCTCGGTGTCTTCTTCGTCGTCTTCGCCGAAGGCCGATGCTTTCTTAAAAAATTCGCCAGATTCTGTTCCCTCGTGGACCGATGGGATCGAGAAGCTGTTGATGGAAGACGACGATGATAATAAGGTTTCTCCGGAGCCTTCCTCCGATTACTGTGAACGCTTTCTGGTGGATTTGCTTGTCGATTCGCCTGCCGACGTGTCCGGTGAGGCCGTCGCCGCTTCCACCAACTCTGATCCCAACGTCACCGCTGATGCCTACGCTAATTCCGAGGAAGAAGAGGAGAAGGAGAAGGTGGAGGCTGCAGAGGTCGACGACGAAGCTGATGAGCCCATTTCCAAGAAACAAAAAAGGTACCAATGATCTATTTATTCAATATTGGACATTCATATTTGTTGTGCCCCTTCTTAGTTGTTTATCTCAATTTACAGTAAGTTGTATATTAACTTTTTACGTTTTTTTTTTTAAAAATTGTGATCGATAACTTTCTTGGTTTATGATTTTGTATGCTGTAAGTAAATAACTTGTAACAGTAATTTAACTTTGTAATTTGGCTTTTCGTATGTAAAATGCTTGATGCATTTTTTATTGGTGATTTAATTTTGTTTGAACTTTGGAGATTGTAAATATATGCCTTTAGAACAAGTTCTGTAGACTAATATATGTGGGTCTTGGCTTTTTTTTTTTTTTTTAATGTCAAAACTCAAAATTGTATGGTTTATAATTTGGAATGTGGTAGGGACAACAAATGCTATGGCTTTATATATTGCAAGTGTATGATATGATTCCTAGCGAAAAAGAAGAGCATGTGATGTAGTTGAATTAAAACCAACAAAGGAGATTTTAAGAGTTCTGTTGGTGATTTATTTTGTTTGGACATTGCAGATTGTATAATCCTCTAATACTAGTCCTTGAATCAATATATTTGGGTCCTCCAAAATGATGTGTCGTCACACGTTCTGTAATGTTATGTAAAATCCTTAAAATAAAAAATAAAAATAAAAAAGTAGTGATGCAATCGAGTTAAGCCTAGATTCTAAGAGCTTTGTTTGATTTAATGGATGTCTTTCCAGGCAGCTGAGAAATAGAGATGCGGCAGTGAGATCGAGGGAGAGGAAGAAGCTATATATGAAGGATCTGGAGATGAAAAGCAAGTATCTGGAAGGAGAATGCAGGAGAATGGGGCGTTTGCTCCAGTGCTGCTATGCGGAGAATCAAGCTTTACGGGTTACTTTGCAGATGGGCGGTGCATTTGGTGCTTCCGCAACCAAGCAGGAGTCTGCTGTACTCTTGTTGGGTATGAACTGTCAACAAAACAATTCTCTTCACACAATCTTCCTGCACATTTTGCCCTGCGTCTTTTTTATTTCTCGCAAGGAGATTGAGAAAAACTGGAAGTGTGCCACATCTTTGTGGAACTTTTTTAGAATGATGTCAGATTTTAGGGAATTTCATAGAGAGCCATGCAGGATCTAGAGAGGGAAACAAGGTTAGGGGTAGCTAATTGGATGAATATAGCAAAAATGATGCGTTAGTCATAGAAGTCCCGGTGATATCATATGAAGATTTCCTTTTCTCTTCTTGTGAAGTAGGCAGATTCTTGAAAATGCATTCCAATTTGAACGTACTTGGGACTATTTTTGAATGATGCGAAATTCGAGTTTAGTTTTCATAATACGCAGAAGATTGGTCTTCCAGTGATACCATTTTAAGATGTCTAGTTCTCTCTCTAATGGAGTGGACGTTGTTATGTGTCATGGTTAATGAGAATCGGGTACTATAGTGATACATCGTCTACGTCTAATTTTCTCTCATGTGGCCTTGTTTGAGTGCATTTTCAACTTGGGATGTATATGTAATTGGTTGTTTGGTGTTTTTTTAACGAGTGGTTTTATATATGTGTTGGTTGGGTGTGCTTGCAGAATCCCTGCTGTTGGGTTCCCTGCTTTGGTTGGTGGTCATCACGTGCCTGTTCATCCCGCCAGCAATTCTGGAAGCGGTTCTGATGAGAGAAGACAAGGCAAAGAGAGCTCCAGAAAGAGTGGCTCCAAGAGAAGCAGGAGGGACAAGAAGTGAGATATTTGGATACGCGGTGGGTCAACGCCAATCTGGTTTTGTAAAAAGTAGGAGGAGGACATGCAAAGCGTCCTGGACGAAGATGAAGCACTTCCCCTGTCTCTCACCGCTTGCTCTAGTTTAATATCTTGGTTGGTTTATGATATCATATGATATGATGAGGGTTTAATTCCATTTTAGGTGATTTCATCCGGTTTATCGTGGCAGTTTGAGCCATAATGACGTATCACATATGTGATTATATGGTTGATCTGACCTCTTATGTTTATATCTTGCTTTGCATTTTTTAATTTGAGCGATTCTTTTTTTTTTTTTTTTTTTTTTTTTTTATAAAACAAACCCTTTAAATTTTTTTTCTCCCCCTTTTTTTTTTTTTTTTTTTTTTTTTTTAATAAACGAACGCCTTGAAACTTTATTCTGCACTCCATTTATAACTGATCGGGGAAAGAGGAAATTTTTTATGATGTTGATATGTTGGTCAGTATTGTATCTTTTTAAAAAATAAGTTTTTTTTTTCTTTTTTTTTTTGGCTAAAAAAAAGCAAAAATATTATGACGGTCTGGAAGTTTTGTTTGGTCTTATTATTATTTTTAAAATATAAACTTTGCAAGAAATTAGAGGCAGGTTATTTCTGTGTGCAATTGCTGTTCAGAAGGCAGTTTGGTCTTAAACAAGAAGGTACTTTGCGGCTGAAGCTGTTTTATGTGTTTTTAGAAGCCATACAACGACCCAACAAACATAAGAACAAGATATGTAAGCAGAGCTAACGTAAAAATAAAATATACAAAAATATCAGCGGAGAGTTAGGTGAGGGGCAGAAATAGTTGAGCAGTTTGGTGAGTCAGTGGGCTAGTTTGATATTACGGGAATATCCTTGTTAGCAACGGCATATTCCAATTGAATGTGCATTACCTAATCTAATCCGGTAAAGATGCCTTATCGCTTCCTATCTAATGTCTAATCTTGTTTAGGCCCTGCATGCAAGTTTAGTTGGAGAATTCAAACCATGATTTGAATCATGGTTCATAATTCGTTACAGTATTTTTTTTCATAAAAATACACGTAAATAAAAAATAATTATAATCACATGATTTTAATCCATGAATCAAACGTCTCGTTGTTGCTCTTCCTCCTCTAAAACGTAAGCTGAAAAAGGAATGCCATCATCTAAATTCTATGAGCTTGCTTTCAGACTTTTTAAGCCCGTTTAATTTGTTGATTTAAGTTTTTAATTCGAGTTGAGATGTGACATTATGTGAGTTTTTTACTGCAGTAAAAAAGTTAGATGTGATTGTTTCTGAGAGCTTTTTACTGTAACAAAACTCGAATCGGTGAAATGAACGGGCCTTTATTTTTATTTTTTAAATTTTGTTATTACCATATTCAATGCTTAGAGTATGTTTGGTAGGAGAGACAGGGGTGGAGAGAGATGGTCGGAGAGTCTTAGGTGACGTTTGGTTCATGAGTTTAAAATCATAGTTTAAACAAGGTTCATGATTTTGATTTTAAAAATTTAAGGGTGCGTTTGGAATTGATTCCAAAACGTTTTTGTTTTCTATACGAAAATAGAAATGAAAACGTTTTCATTTTCATTTTTGAATTATTTCTGAAAATGTGTTTGGTAGTTTTATTTAGAGATTGATTTCAGTTTTAAAAAAAACTGAAACTGCGTTTGGTGGTTTCATTTTTGAAAACATGTATTTAATATATTAAATAAATAATAATTGAATCACAAATAAAAACACTAATAATTAATAAAATATAGAAATTACAATATTAGCTTAAATTATTATGGCCTATACAAATCCCACATTTGATTAGCTAGATGATTTCTAAAATTAACCATGTAATTACGTTGTTGCCGACCACCCATTTCAGATGTTTCTGCTTCTTATGCATCCATACCATGTTGTTGTTCCTGTTGCCCTTCTTATTCTCCCTCAATATCTTCTACGGGCAAATTGACCTCATATTATCTAAATAGAGGATCACACATCTAAAATAACACTTTTAGCAATTAAAATAAATGTCAATTTGTAAAGTATATACACACACACACAGACACACACACACGCAGGGTCTGATAGGGGCTGATAATCAGCCCCCAACGGGACTGATGGGGGCTGATTTATCAGCCCCCATCAGGGCTGAAATCAGCCCCCATTGGGGCTCATGGGGGCTGATTATCAGCCCCCATTGGGGCCTCCCAGGTCAGCCCTAATGGGAGGCCCCCAGGGGTTGATTCAGCCCCAACGGGGGCCTCTCAGGGGCTGATTCAGTCCCCATCAGGGCTGATAATCAACCCCCAATGGATTGATGGGGGCTGATTTTTAGCCCCTATTGGGGCTGATGGAGGCTGATTTATCAGCCCCCATCAGGGCTGAAATCAGCCCCCATTGGGGCTCATGGGGCTGATTATCAGCCCCCATCAGGGATGATGGGGGTTGATTTTCAGCCCCCATTGGGGCTGATAATTAGCCCCCATTGGGGCGGATGGGGGCTGATTTTCAGCCCCAATGGGGTTAATGGGGGCTGAAAATCAGCCCAGGGCTGATAATCAGCCCCCAATGAGGTTGATGGGGGTGAAAATCAGCCCCTATCAGGGCTGATAATCAGCCCCCAATAGGGCTGATGGGGGCTGATTTTCATCCCCCATTGGGGCTGATGAGGGCTGATAAAATCAGCCCCCATCAGGGCTGATAATCAGCCCCCAATGGGGCTGATGGGGGCTGATTTTCAGCCCCCATTGGGGCTGATTTTCAGCCCCAATTGGGGTTGATGGGGGCTGATAAAATCAGCCCCCATCAGGGCTGATAATCAGCCCCCAATGGGGTTGATGGGGGCTGATTTTCAGCTGCCATTGGGGCTGATAGGGGCTGATTTATCAGCCCCCATCAGGGCTGATAATCAGCCCCCATTGGGGCCTCCCTGGTCAGCCCCAATGGGAGGCCCCCAGGAAAGGTGGAGGGATTCTCTCTACCTAAGCCCACTATTTTGCATCCCTTTTCTAATAGAAGGATCCATACAATGAGTAAATTTAGTACAAAGTAAAAGAGACAAAGAAGTAATTAAACAAATATTTATCCATCCATCCGTTTAACTCTTCTTTCCTCCTACCAAACAATATAAAGAATTACCATAATTCGTTTCATTCCTCACATTCTCTATCCCTCAAACTCTCTCTATTCCTCTTCTTCTCCATTTCTCTTACCAAACAGAGTCTTAGATTTCTATCCAATTGAAACAAACTAAGAAAACAATCTGTATTTAGTAAATTACAATAGTTACTAAAAAACGAAATGGGTTATACTTTTCCTTCATTAAAAAAAAGGGGTTATGCTTCAACAAATGAATTATCTTTTATTTTTATTTTTTTAGTAATGTTTAGGACTCCAACTCAAATCTTAATTTTTGTTTACCAACTGATGTGTCATATGAGTTGTTACCTTTTTATTGGTAGATGTAATCATTTTCATTAATTGACGTTGCAATGTTTAAACACCCACCAATATAAAAATGACAACTCACATACCACATCAATTGATACACAAAAGTTGAGATTTATTATTTTTTTCTTAATCTATTTGTTTTCTGATTTGGGGTGTGGCATTTGAGTTTTGAAGTTCAATATTAGAGATTCTGAATTGTCAATATACTTGTCACGCCCCCCAAACGGGGTGGGTGACGTGGAACTCGATTTGGGATTAATAAAGCAGATTCCCAACCGGGTCCCACACTACTTAACTGCAAAAAAATATAAATAAACGACATAATCCAGGAGCCTCTGACACACAGGGCTCCACCCCACAGGACATACAGTATCGTACATACATGCACATGTAAATAATCAATTACAATAGACATCATCCACAGTCTAGTAAATCCAATATTAAATAGGTTTACATAATTTCTCAAATTCCTTACATTTGTTCAAGAGGATAAACTCAATCCTCACTTGATCCAACAGTAGCAACTC